TTAGCCGGGCGCAGTGGCGGGCGCCTGTAGTCCCAGCTACTCGGGAGGCTGAGGCAGGAGAATGGCGTGAACCCGGGAGGCGGAGCTTGCAGTGAGCCGAGATTGCGCCACTGCACTCCAGCCTGGGCGACAGAGCGAGACTCCGTCTCAAAAAAAAAAAAAAAAAAAAAAAAAAAAGAAAATACCTAGGAGTATTTTGTTAACAGTGCTCATTTCAACTGAAAGGCTTCATTTTAAAATTTAATTTAATTTAATTTTTTAATTATTTTTTGAGACAGACTCTTGCTCTGTGTCTCCCAGGCTGGAGTGCAGTGGTGTGATCTTGACTCGTTGCAACGTCTGCCTCCTGGGTTCAAGTGATTGTCATGCTTCAGCCACCCAAGTAGCTGGGATTACAGGCGTGTACCACCACCCCTGGCTAATTTTTGTATTTTTAGTAGAGATAGGGTTTCAAACTCTTGGCCTCAAGCAGTCTACCTGCCTTGGGCTCCCAAGATGCAGGGACTACAGGTGTGAACCACTATGCCTGACTTTTTAGGCTTTCTTTAAAATGGCATCTTTTGGCCAGGTGTGGTGGTAATCCCAGCACTTCTGGAGGCTGAGGCTGGAGGATTGCTTGAGCCCAGGAATTGGAGATCAGCCTGGGCAACATAGGGAGACCGTCTGTCTGCCAAAAAATTAAAAACAAAGAACAAACACACACAAAAAAACCCTAGGTGTTACGGTGTACCCCTGTGGTCCCAGCTACTTGGGAAGCTGAGGTGGAAGGATTGCTTGAGCCCAGGAGGTTGAGGCTGCATTGAGCCGTGATTGTGCTGCAGCACTCTAGCCTGGATGACAGAGTGAGACCATGTCTAAAAAACAATTAAATAAAATGACATCTTTGTAGAAGTGAATTTTACCCAGGTACCAAGCCCCTGCCTGTCCCTCCCAACTCCCTTCCCTGCCTCCCAGCACCCCCATCTGTTTTGGTTCTGCTGTTGCCATTCTTTGGCTTTGGGGACTTGCTGAAGCCCCACTGTCCCCATCTTCCAGCTGTACCCCTTCTCTCTGCTTCCCTGCTTGTCTTATTCTTTACAGGGCTGCCTGGGATTTCACATTCCTAAAGTTTTGGGTTTGTTTTTGGATCATGCCAATATCAGTTGTTTTGAGAAGTGAGAAAGGGTATTTTGCATTTTCCTTTTAATCATCAGTGAGTACCCACAAAGGGTGTGTCTTTCCCTCCTGTGCTGTGTTTACTGTGTACTCCCTCGGTGCATGAATTATTTCATGGCACCAGTGGAGCATGTTTTATTCTCTTTCCTGTTTGTGGCTTGCACCTCCTGAATGCTGCTATCATTCATGGTCCAGCTTGGTTTTCTTTTTCACTGTTTCTATCACAGAACATCCTGAAGATCAGTGGTGTCAGTCATAGGATCCAAAACAGCTGGTTCCTAGGCCCTGCCTCATGCTCTGTGGCTTGGGCTTGTCTTTTCTTCCAGAGTAAGTGGGTAACTTCTTCCTGCTTTTTTTCTCTTTTCTTCTGTAAATGGGAGGAAAAGTGTCGAGTATGGAGACTGCCCTTTCATTTGAAGGAAATTCACAGTTCCAGCTCTGTAGCGTGGCGTCTCTTAACTAGTGGTCAACACTGGCTGTGGAAGGGGGGCCAGATGGCAAAGTGAAGCAGATTCTTTCCTTCTGTCTGCAGTTTGATTGCAGTATGAAGTTCAGCTTGCTTCAGTCTATGTCTTCATGTTCTTCCACTAGGTACTGAATTTTGTGATCTGTTGGAAATAACAAGTAAATAGATGCCTAACACTTTATACAGATTGAGTATCTCTAATCCAAAAATCCAAAATGCTCCAAAAGTTTCAGCTTTTGGAGCACTGACATACCACAAGTGGAAAATTCCACACCTCACCTCATGTGACGGGTCACAGTCAAAACTCAGGCGTACAACCCACAGTTAATTTAGTGTCCCCAAGGGAAAAAAGACCCTCCTGGCCCCCTTCAGATGTGATGTGTCTTTTCCACACATGCCCAGATTCCCTCAAACACCTCCACAAAGGGTAATAAAATGGTTCATTGTACACAAACTTTGTTTCATGCACAAGATTATTAAAAATATTATATAAAATGAGCTTTTAGAGAAGTGAGAAGAGAAATGAGAGGTAGGGAGGGAGGAGTTGGGGGACAGTTGGGGGAATAGTTGAAGGTAAGGTGTTTAGGCCAAGCTCTGAGGAGGTGACGTTTGAGTGGAGACTCACACGGTGAGAGAATGGGGCAACCTCCTGAAGGAGCAGAAGCACTGTGGGCAGCAGGGTATGAGCAGAGGAGGAGCTCAGTGTGTTGGAGGTTGGCGACTCCTTTGGAGTCTTGTGGGATGGTGTTGGGACAGGGATGGACCGTGGGGAGGCTGGATCATGGGGAATATGTTGCTTTAGGCCAAGCTGGAGATGATGGTGGCTCAGATCAGAGCTAAAGTAGTGGAGACACACAGACACTGAATGAATGATGAAGTTCACTCATTCTGCATGTGTCCCATGTGATGCATCCAAGTACTGTTTTAGGTACACCAAGTACTGTTTTAGCACACCAAGTACTGTTTTAGGCACTGGGGATATAATAGTGAACCAACTGGAGCTGCCATTGTGTTGGTAGTGATGAGAGAGACCATGAGAAGAAAGGCCAGAGCCATGTCCTGCAGAGAGTGGTGTACTTTTGGAGGGAAGTGTGTGGGGTTGTCGAGGAGCAGTGTGCTGCTCAGGGAGGAATGAGGTGGGACGGCCTTGTGGGAAGAGCAACCAAGATTCTCATAGGCTTGGGAGCTTGAACCCTGAGGTCTATTGCTGGACTAAATATGTGAGGTGTGAGAGGAGAGAAGAATCAGGAATGACTCTTTGATTTTTAACATGAGCAACTCAGAGAATGAGAGTGCTACAGTTTAGAAACTTGGAAGGTGGATTTTGTGGGGGAATGAATGAGTTATTAGACACCTCAGTGGATATACTCAGATGGATATATACATTAGAGCTCAGAAGAGTCTGGACTAGTGACATGAATTTGATCATCATCTAGAGTATGAGTGGCACAGGAAGCCACTTGTGTGGATGAGGTGACAGAGGAAATGGTTGAGGATAGCAACCAACATTTAGAGGCAAGGTAGAAGGCAGAGCAGTGTGGAATCAGGGAAGCCGAGAGCTTCCCTCAGCACAGTGGCACGAAGCTTGGACACCACCTCTTGTCTGTCCTGCTTAATTCCATTCACATCTAGAGTGGACTTGCTGTGTGCACACCGCTGACCACCTGCCTCATGTGACAGTTGTTCCTCATGGATCTTAGCCCCTTGCCTTTACCATGAGCCTCCTCAGAGGTCAGGGCACTGCCTGTTGGCATTTCTCATGGTGTCATACACATTGGGTGCTTCCCAAATTAATTACATCCATCAGAAAACTTCACTCTATCTGAGAAGCTTTAATAGTGGACTTGGGGATTATTAAATCCTAAAAAAGGTTATAACAAAAAGTTTTCTTGGTGTGTGTCTGTGCCTAGAATTTAGAAAATAAGTCATCCAGTATTGAGGCCATTTTATGAAAAGCCTTTAAAATCTGCAAATGCATTGGCCCAGCAATTCTACTTCTAGGGATTTATCCTAAGAAAATAGTCTTGGGTATCTGCCAAGAATGTTCACTGGGGTGTTGTTTATAATGTGCAAAACAGGAGCTAACCTAAATGTCCAACAATAAGGGATTGGTTTAAAAAAAAAAAAAGCCTCATGGTGTGTATTCATACCCTGGAATTACTGTCCCCTTAAAATGATGATGTAGAAGGACATGTATTGACTTAGTAGAATATTAAGTGAAGGAAGTGTGTTTACAAATGTCATATTTTTGTCTGATTTCACTTGCCTTCATTTATAGAGAGTGGATAATTGGCATAGTGTTAACATTGTTTATCTTGGAATATTGAGATCGTTGATGATTTTTACTGTTTTTTGTTGTTGTTGTTGTTATTACCTCTAAACTCTGTAGGAAGCATGCTTTCTTGATCAATAAAACTCTTAAAGTTGGAATTTATGCTTCTTTTATTCATAAAAAAATCATGTTTTTAATCTTAGGTTATCCTTTATGTTTACATTAATGCAGATATGGGGAGAACACAGTCTACCCGGCTCATGTCAAATATGCGTTTTGGAGTCCCCACTTTCCAGGTCACAGTGACAGTTTTCCAGTATAGAGTAGACTGATTGCCCTGTACCCTTCAGGCAGGGTGCAGTAGTAAGTTAATTGATAGTTGGCTGCTGAGCTGTTGCTCAGGCCTTGGCAACTGACACTCTGCGGAAGGGACCAGGAGTGTGCAGTGGTGGAATCGGGCTGGCCTGGGTTGCAGATTTAACTTTCGCCTGTCCCTCTGTGTGCCCCTGGGCTGTAAGTTTTAGTTTGCAAGGTTGACGGGGATGGCCTCTCCCATAGTCGGTTGGTGTGTGCTGCACAGTCTGGCCCAGAATGAATGCCAGCTAACTGGTTAGCCACCTAGACTGTCAGTCTGCAACCCACAGCTCTGCCGTGAACAATTGAACCTTATTTCTTTTTTCTTTCTTTCTTTTTTTTTTTTTTTTTGAGACGGAGTCTCGCTCTGTCGCCCAGGCTGGAGTGCAGTGGCGCAATCTCAGCTCACTGCAAGCTCTGCCTCCCGGGTTCATGCCATTCTCCTGCCTCAGCCTCCCAAGTAGCTGGGACTACAGGTGCCTGCCACCACGCCCGGCTAATTTTTTGTATTTTTAGTAGAGATGGGGTTTCACTGTGTTAACCAGGATGGTCTCAATCTCCTGACCTTGTGATCCGCCCGCCTCGGCCTCCTAAAGTGCTGGGATTACAGGCGTGAGCCACCACACCTGGCCAAACCTTATTTCTTTAATAATAATACAAGATTCCTAAAAACCAACTGTATTATTGTTGGAAAAATAGTTTTAAAAATTATTTCCTTTTAACTGAGACGTTTACCCTCTTGTCTCCCTTCAGTCTGTGGGCCGGGCATCGACATCCGCAACGACTATCAGCAGCTGAAGCGCCTGGAGAACTGCACAGTGATCGAGGGCTACCTCCACATCCTGCTCATCTCCAAGGCCGAGGACTACCGTAGCTACCGCTTCCCCAAGCTCACGGTCATCACCGAGTACTTGCTGTTGTTCCGAGTGGCTGGCCTAGAGAGCCTCGGAGACCTGTTCCCCAACCTCACGGTAATCCGCGGCTGGAAACTCTTCTACAACTACGCCCTGGTCATCTTTGAGATGACCAATCTCAAGGATATTGGGCTTTACAACCTGAGGAACATTACTCGGGGGGCCATCAGGATTGAGAAAAATGCTGACCTCTGTTACCTCTCCACTGTGGACTGGTCCCTGATCCTGGATGCAGTGTCCAATAACTACATTGTGGGGAATAAGCCCCCAAAGGAATGTGGGGACCTGTGTCCGGGGACCATGGAGGAGAAGCCGATGTGCGAGAAGACCACCATCAACAATGAGTACAACTACCGCTGCTGGACCACAAACCGCTGCCAGAAAAGTAAGAATGATGCTGACTGCTGCTTTCTCTCTGCTTCTCTCTCTTCTCTCCTTCTCCTCCTTGACCTCCCTTCTCTTCTGAATGCACGAGTTCCACTGGGCAGGGTGCAGTCGTGTTGCCTTTAGGACGTGGCGCGCCTGCTGTGCGGAAGTGGTTCCCAGCGGGGGTCTTGGTTGGCTTTCCTTTGCATCTGGGACTCTTGGATTGCGGGACTGTGGCATGGCTGGAGGCCATCATGGCTGCTGTCAAGACTATTCAAATCACATGTTAGAAATAATCCACCACACTCCTGGGCTAGAAACTTGCTGACCTTCAGCTTTGAATTCCTGATGAGAAAAGGTGACCTGGTGTGCTTGGAAGTCCCTGAGTCTTGGCAGCTGGGGGCTGCCTATGTGTCAGCTCTTTCATCCTTTGTGCAAAATGATATTTTTTGTTCTGCATGACTTCCTTAGTTTGAATGGACTTGGAATATGGTTAACTAAAGGGAAAGTAAAGCACTTACTCATATCCTATGAAAGCAATCCTTGGGTCCTAGTGATAATGTTATGATGCTCAGGTGTCCTGGTTATGTCAGAGCACCTGGCCCAGGTGGGAGACCTCTGGACCCATTTCCACAAGTCCCAGGTTCAAGCTGTACTTGCAGTTAGCTGTGTAGCAGGGTGCATTTTTAAATCTCTGGGATTCTGTTTTTGTTCTTTTATACCTGTTTACTGAACAGTTGTGAAAATCTTAAGAATTCACAAGTGAAGGAAGTTTGGAACGTGTTTATTGCTCTGGGGGTCAGATAGTGGTATTTTGAAGTTCTTGTATATTTATCTGCAGTATGCTTATTTTCCCTTGAATAACTGAGCTCTTGCCTTCATGTGATCAGTTCCTTGAGAGCCAGGCTGTTTGGTATTAAAATGTGACTCTGAGCCTTCACCTTATTGCGTTCAGCAATATTTACATATATTGGCTAGGAAGCTTTTCCTCACTAGTTGGAAGTCAATGTGTTAGCTATAAATAGCTATTATTTAAGTGTTGGCCCAGTTAAATATGCAAGGAACCCATGTTCTACAGTTACGAAGAGCCAAGAAACCCCAAATTGTTAGACTTGCCTAAAATAAATAAAAGGTGAGACCCCACGGAGGTGAAGTGTGTAAAATAAAGGCCAGACCTCAGAGGTAGCCCTTACTTCAGTTCCCCTTCAGCCAGGCCTGAGGAAGGAAAAGGATCTGTGTCCCCTGATCTGCCACACACTTTTATACTCTGCAGAATTGGATCAGTGTGTATGTGAACATTGATTAGTAAGGGCAGGGGTCCCACTGGCTGCAGCCAGTACCTCGTAGAGCTCTGAGAATGCAGTCAGGCCACTTTAAGGTTGGCCAGAGTTGGAGGGAGATCTTACGGTAAAGTCACTTGTGTGATTGATTAAAACTGCCTTATCATTAAGTTACCCACTGGTTTGAGAAAACAACAAAATAATTTTTTTAAAATAACCTTGACATTTAAAACTTTTATCTGAAAAGTAAAAGGTGTTATCAAGGGAGGCAGCATGGAGTAGAAGAGAGACGTTGAACGTAGTAATGAGGGCCAGGAATGACCTTGGATGAGCCAGCCCCTCTGGGCTGTAGTTGGGCTTTTATAGACTATTTCTAGGGCAGTCGGTAAATCCCTTAGCGGTGATCATATATGGGCATGAGGATGTTTTGAAAACTCATAAGCTCTTTATAGAAGGGACGTGCTGTATGAAACGTCATTAAGTGGGGAGTTGTTCAGGAAGTAGGTAGGTAGTTACTTTGGTCTTGCCATGGGTTTTCGGCTGTTTCTGATCAGCTACTTATTGAAGACCCCTGGAATAGGGGTGAGGCCTGCATTCTGGATCCAAGTCTAAGAGGGGCAACTAGAAATGAGCAAGTTATTTAAATTGCCTGGGCTTCGGTTTCTTCATATGTGGAATGGGGTAAGGCCTGCCTTCCTCATAGGGCTATTGGAAGATGAAAAGGAGGAAGGAGAAGCACCGTGGAAAGGTAATGATGGTTAGAAGTTGGGCTCTGCTGGTGACAGACAGAGCCTTGATAACACCTGTTGGTTGGTCACCTGCTTCCCCACGGCCACGTCCTGCAGCCTTCTTGACCATCCCAGCCCCGCTGATGTTTGTTGTGATTTCACAATGGAGTACTTACATAAAACTCATAACTGCTTTCAGGGAAATGTACTTCCCTTCTTCTTGTCCTGAAAACTCAGGCATGGGCATATTTCTTGGAGATTTTCTGGTTGAATCAGAACTTTCTCTTGGTTTGCATAGATTCCATTTAGACCTGCATTGTCCAGTGTGGTAGCGGCTTATCGAGTACTTGAACTGTGGCTTGTCCAAATTGGGACTGCTTTAGGTGTAAAATATACACTAGATTTCCAAGACATATAGGAAAAACCCTGTACACCATTTCATTAATAATTTCTATGTTGATTACATGTTGAAATACAACATTTTGGATATATTAGATTAAGTAAAATGTGTTCTTAAAATAAATTTCAGCTGCCTGTTTCTTTTTAATTCTATTTTTTTTTTTTTTTGAGATGGAATTTCGCTCTTGTCATCCGGGCTGGAGTGCAGTGGCGCGATCTCGGCTCACTGCAACCTCTGCCTCCTGGGTTCAAGCGATTCTCCTGCCTCAGCCTCCTGAGTAGCTGGAATTACAAGCATGTGCCACCATGCCCGTCTAATTTTTGTATTTTTACTAGAGACGGGGTTTCACCACCATGTTGGCCAGGCTGGTCTCAAACTCCTGATCTCTGATGATCTGCCTGCCTCAACCTCCCAAAGTACTGGGTTTACAGGCATGAGCCACCATGCCCGACTCTTTTTAATTCTTAATGTGGCTACTTGAAAATTTGAAATTACAGATGTGACTTGCATTCTGTGTTGGTAAGCTGCTTTAGAGCATTTCTTTTAACAGCAGGAGTTCTTCCCCTCATCATCTTTTTGGCTGAGTGGTCACTGCAGTGCTGACAGCCTGCACTTCTCCAGCCAGAACCCTTAGGAATCATTTGGGGAGCTCCGTGTAGGGCATTGAGAGTCCAGGCAGAATGGCTACCTTGAGTTCAACATAAGTGTTAAGATGGCCATTCGAAAAGATTAAGCACAGAAGAGTCCCATTCAGTTAATCTTCTGTTGGCTGGCTGTAGAACTAAGGAGAACATCTGGAGAAACATGTCAAGGGTGTGTGTGAAATCGTTGAGCCTACTTGATTTTGTCATGCTGATGCACAGTTTTCACTTGGCCCTGTCCTTTAAACTCCTTCTGTGCCATGACTCTACAGTGCCTGGCAGCGTAGTAGACTCTACTCCCACTATGGACGTGATCCCTCTGTGGTTTCTCTGCACACTTCTGTATTTCTCAGTTCTTTTTGGATTTGGGAGTGGATTTTGTACATTTTTGAGTCATTCCTAAAGAGCGATTGACCCTTAAAGAACTGTGTACAGCGCTTTCCTTTCAGTAAGAACATAGTTGTGTGCCATCCCCTGACATGGGGTGTGGTTGATTCCTCTTCCCTTGTCTTCTGACACCACCCTCTTATGAGTCTCTTCCTGCCCCCACAGCTGCTGCTTCTGTGTCTCCCTTCCCTCAGTCTGGCTTTTAATGGTGGTCCCCTGACATAGTCCATTCAGGCTGCTGTAACAAAATCCCATATCCTGAGTGGCTTACACACAACAGAAATACTGCTCACAGTTCTGGAGCCTGGAAGTCCAAGTTCAAGGTGCTTACCAGATTAACTGTCTGGGGAGGGCCCACGCTCTGGTTCACAGACAGCACCTTTTCACTGTCTTCACATGTTGGAAGGGGTGAGGGTTTTTTTTTTCTGGCCTCTTTTTTAAAGGGCACTAATCCCATTTGTGAGGGCTCCACCCTCATGACCTAATCACCTCCCAGAGCCATCACATAGGGGATTAGGTTTCAACATAAGAATTTTGAGGGGACGTAAACATTCAGATCATAGCATGGCTGGAGTTCTATCCTGGGCTCTCTTTTCACTTTCCTTGTTCTCATCTCATCCACTGGTAACTTCATTGTCTCCTGTTTCCACCTAAACTTCCAAATATCTCCAGCCCAGAACCCTTTTGAGCCCAGGACCTGTCATTCACATCAGACCACCATGAGCATTTCACTACAGCGTCTGATGGTCTTCCCTGTTTCCTCACTTTTGCCTATTTTTTTTCTTTTCTGTTCCCTCTTTAGTGGGCCACACTCTTGTTCCCCTGATTCTTATGTCAGGAATGTGAGTGTCCTTTGGACACTTCCTTCTCCAGTTGCACACCAGGCCTTTTCCCTCCCGAATGGAATGGAAATGGAATGGAAATGCTGCTTCAGCTGCCCTCCTCTGCTCCTCCCCCTTACAGCATTGACATAGCCTCTCTCTGCTTTGTGCCCTGTGGTTCCACCGAGCACTGGGGAGCTTTCCAGTATGCACTTTTTTTTTTTTTTTTTTTTTTTTTTTGAAGGAGTCTTGCTCTGTCACCCAGGCTGGAATGCAGTAGTGCGATCTTGGCTCATTGCAACCTCCGGCTCCCAGGTTCAAGTGATTCTACTGCCTTAGCCTCCTGAGTAGCAGGGATTACCGCGCCACCACACCCAGCTAATTTTTGTATTTTTAGTAGAGACGGTGTTTCACCGTGTTGACCAGGCTGGTCTCGAACTCCTGACCTCAGGCAATCCACCTGTCTTGGCCTCCCGGCGTGCTGGGATTACAGGCATGAGCCACTGCGCCTGGCCATCCAGTGTGCACTTTGGACTGATGTGCTTCCCTACCTGAAATCCTGTAGCAAATCGCTATAGGATAGGCATGTGGTACAGCGTGAAGCTCCTGAGTGGTCAACAGCTACCCCACGACAACATGCCACACTCCATGTGCCACTCCCTCCCGCCTGCCTGCCGAGTCCTTGGCCCCCGTGGTGCTCTCCCGTGCTGACCAGCCGGCACGGCTCACCTGGCCGAACTCTAGCCTTGCCTTTTCCTCTCA